GATCATTCATATCATCATTTCAGATGTTTTTGAGTACAAAAAAACATTTTTTTATCACAAATTATCGTGCATTTGCTTCATTTTCCCAGAATTTCAAACTGAAATCAATTCAAGATTTGAATGATTCAATTGAATTATCAATTTCAATTGGTTAGTTTATGACTATTATGAATAGATTTTGATTATTTGTTTTTAGATCAAAAGAAATTTGAAAATCTTTTAATTCCTTTGGTTTGGCTAAGAGATCATTGCAAATCCGATAAGTGCTATGAATGGTCTACCAATCAAAGAAAATCGAATTCAGTTGATTTGTTCGAAAAATCCAAACTAGTAGAAGATGGCAATCCAATTGAGGTTCAAGAAAAGTTTTGTTTTGTATCTTTTCTCCCTTTCATAATCATTATGATATTAGAAGTTTGAAAGTATTTTGGAGAGATGGTCATCATTCTGAGTATTCTGCAGAGCGATTGCTTGATGAAATTGTTAAGAAGACGCAGTTGCAATCATCCATCGAAGCATGGGATAATACCTTGAAGACATCTTTACCTCGCCTGAATTAGTAAACCTTTGTTTATATTCATTTACTCATTGAAATTTCATAATTCAGCTCTACTAACTTCTCTTTTAAAAATTTTGGAAATCTTTTCGTCAAATATGGTTTTGTGATTGTTGATGGGGTCGAGAAAACTGCTGAAGCAACCGAAAAGTTTTGTCGGGAGCTTGGACCAATTCAGAACACCTTCTTCGGAGACTTCTGGGTTTTCAGCAACGAAGGAGTATATACGAAGCTCCATTTATTGCTTTCAATATTTTATTTAGCAAAATAATAATCACGAAGACACTGCTTATGGAAATGAAACAATTGGACCACACACTGATGGAACATATCTGGATCAGTCTCCAGGAATTCAGGTCTGTACCGAGTATTGATCACGCACTGCGATAAACGAGGTAAAAATGAATTGAATTCTCACTTGATTTCAGGTCTTTCATTGTCTTCATCCAGCTGCAAAAGGAGGAAATACGGTTCTGACGGATGGTTTCAAATGTGCAAAACTTCTGAGACAACAATTTCCTGACTTTTATAAGACATTGACAACGTTCGAGGTGAATGAGCAAGCAAAAACTAAGCAGAAAACATATGTATAGATTGATCACCATTACTTGGAAGGTAAGAAGGGGAAGAGATCTCTTATATCGCGGGCCTCCAATAAAAGAGTGATAGAGACTGATATCGATGACTACTTACGCCAAATAAGGTAGAAATATATACATGAAAGCATGGACTATCTTGTTTTCAAGGTTTAACCCATATGATCGGGCTCCTTTTTCTTTTGTGAATGGTCGTTACACAGTATCAGAAGTCATCACATTTTATAAAGCATACACTGAGTTTTCGAGAATATGCCATGATCATACACTGTCAATTGACTTGCACCTTGAACCGGGGTCGGTCATTTTCATTGACAATCATCGTGTGTTCCATTCAAGAACTTCTTTCACGGTAAGTTATTGTATGCTTTGTTGATGAACATGATCATTACAGGGCTTTCGGAAAATGGCTGGATGCTACATGTCCAGGGATAACTTGCTAGCTAAAATTCGCCCAAACCTTGACAGTTTTATAATTTGAAATGGTAAAAGGAATATTTTGTATGATTGAATGAAAGGTGTTTTCCGCTTTAGTCTAATACTACAGCCTTCTTTCCTGCAAATACCTTCAGGCCGTTTTGTAGGGAAGAAAAGGAAAACTCAGAGAATAGAGAGGAACTTATTGAAATTGGAGTTACTCCATGTGGATAGTACGTGTTCAATCTCTTGGTTATTGGAAAAACATCATGAACAAGAAAAGCGGAAGAAAAAAGAAAGATTTTTCATGATGACCGAGTGATGGTTTGTATATCACTTTTGCTGAATCCTTTGGGAAG